GCTTTGATTCAGTTTTTGTGTCTGGTGGGAACATTTTCTCGAAATGTAGGTGCTATTTCCTGTAATCAAGGGCTTTCCAGAGCCTGATAATCATTTCCCAGCTGTATCATTTTGGTGAATTATTTTTTAGCCTTGGGTTATTTAATGACTGGTTTTGCATATTAAGAATGGGAGAGGATCATATTCATCTTGATGATAGAAAACAGGGAATAGAACTCCCACAGCTCCCTCTCCCTTTTCCTCCACCTTGTGGAAAGTTTGGCTTTGTGTTAAAGCGTGAAAAAAGCCTTGACTGCAGTATGTCAGGCATATTTCAGCTCGATTTGTGTCAACCCTAATAAGTCAGCTGACAAGGTAATAAATTGGGTGTCTGTTCAAGGCCTGGCACCTGTACAGGAAATAAAAGGGGATTTCAGTTGCAGGAGGTTTGCTTTGTTTTGCAAATGGACCTTTTCTCAAGGCTCCTCTACTTCCTCCCCCTTCTCCTCTTTACTGAAATCATGTTATCAAAATGTTTATTTCAATTGTGACTGGAGCCAGTTTTTCATCTGGAAAAGAAAGCTCTATGAGTATCTTTGGAAATGGAAATCCCTATGCTTTCCACTCTGAAACAAAGGCTTACAGACCATTTAATTATTCATGTATCCTGCTGTGACATATATGGTCTGAATAATTTCAAATTATTGAGGAGAAACTGCCTTTGTTCAGCATTTTGGAACTTTACATTCATGTAGTTTGAATCAGGCTAGGGAAACTGAATTTATTTAACCCAGGGAAACTGTATTAGTAATAACTCACTATTTTTAATGATAATATAACTTTGTGACCAGAGTGTCTTAACATGTTTCCCTCTGTGTCTGACCTCCAAGGATGCAAGTCTGTTAAAAGCCCTTGAGAGCTGAGCTTTTGTAGGTCCAGCTGTAGAGTTGTGTTTTTAGCTCAGGGGCCGCGGGTTGGTTCCCAGTGTGATGCGAGGTGGTGACTGCAATAGCGGTGAGAGCTGAGGCGGTTTCGTTGGGGTCTTCGCTTTTGACACACGGATGTTCCTCCGTGCTCAGAAGAGAGACAACAGCTATTGTCTCTGACCCTTTTCCCTTTTGGTGACTGTCCTGGGCACCATGGAAGAGGTTTCCTAAAACTGTGGTTTCAGGCTCTAAGGCTGGTCTGTGAGCTGGAGGAAGCAAAACGGGACCTAATATTCTTTGAAAAGAGGCAGCTGCCTTTCCAATTGAATTTCCTCCACCTTTTCCCTCCTTCATTATCCCATAGGGATCTACCGTAAGTAGATCTTCATGTCCACGTGGAGAGTTCATCTCCCAGAATTTCCTTCTTGGACTTTTTTAACTAGAGGAAGTGATAATCTGACCCAGTGGAAGGAGAAGGAGGGAAATGGTTTATTAAAAAAAATATTATCACCTTTGAGCAAAGTATGTATGAACTTGAGAAACAAGGAGATGAGAACCCTCTCTCAAAGTCAAAACAGTCGCCTAAGTGCATACTTTGCACATAGTAAGAAAATTTTCTGCAGAAATGTTCAAAATCCAAGAGGATAAATTATGCAATGTATATAATAAGGTTTTCTATATAGTCTGTCTGTTCCAGGATGTATTACTCCTTATGCAGAGTATTTGACTAGATGACAAAAGTCTTACCTATCTGCTTCTATCATATTTATGGTTAAAAACTAACATTTAAATGAGGAAAAAGTTTTCTTAAGTTCTCTTCAGTATTTTCAAGAAGTGAAAATGGAACTTGAGGGAGAAAAAAAGGAGCAATATAAACCTTTAAAACTCCAAGTGAACTTTCAGAATCATAATTGAATGCAAGCTCTGGACTTTCCTATCTATCACACTGTAAATTTTTAAAAAAATACTTAGCTAAGCAACTCTTCTTTCTCCAGCACTGCATAGTGATATGATGGATTACTTTAAATTAATTACCATAATCAGCTGGTGTTATGTGCTGTAGAGTTGTGATTCAAGCATGAAGGGAAGAATAAGCAAAGTCTGACTTGTACAGCAAATTACATGTATAAAAAATGTGTTGCAGGGTTAGCTCAAGTTTTACACTTTGGCCTCAGCCTGTGGAAAAAAAAAAAAAGAGGACTTGAGGGTGAAATACTGAAAGCTGATCAAAAATGGAGGAAATGCACGAGTTCACATATCTTTGGATGTACTGCAAAGGCATTATATGTTAATAAAAGCAAAAGAACAAAGTAAGAAAACAGTACCTAATAATAAGTGATACTCTATGTTGCAAGAGGTGTTTTAAATTTCCTGGTCATTGAAAAGATGTTAAGAAATGCCCATTTCTTTGTGTTTGAATAATATCAGCTCCCTTCTGACCTGTTGTGAAAGGGATTGAGAATTTATACTGAACTTTACAGATGCCTCATGAGGTGAATTGCAAAAACCTGGTTGGACACACATCATCTTCTTTAAAAATATTTATAGAACACAGCTCTTATGAAAATTAAACATGTTCCAGGTGTGTATGGTCCAACTTCTGGGCATAGCTATGTTGTTTTTGAAGTGGTAGATACACCTGTCATTGCTAGTCAAGAGAAATTCTTCATCTGCCAGCTGCTGAAATGAAACTTCATGGGTTTTGTTGTGTTTTGGTTTTGTCCAAGAGAAAAATTGAGATGATTGTAGTAAAGGTAGGAACGAGTTGCAGGTAAGATGTGGCAGCTGGCTGTGGAAAAGATATTAGTTCTCTTCTTCCGGAGCAACAACTCCTTGTACAGCTTCAGCTTCTCAGGATAAAATGGCGGATGTGATATTATTCTGCTTGCAGGCTAGTATTGGGAGCTTGGGATTTTCAGCTGACTTTGTTCCTCATTAATAGAGAAACTAGCAGCACAGGAGCTCAAGATGTTTCCTTCCAGCCTTATTCAAAACACTGTTATGGGACGAGGTGCTAATGCCAGAAGTATAAAAGCTCTGAATGGATATCTCTACAAAAATATGGAGGTGACCGCAAAGTTCAGTCATAGCATGGGGGATGGTTCGCAAGCTGAAACAGCCACGTTTTGTGAGGTTCCCTCTTGTTTCAGTGCAGCTACCCAAAAGGACAGGGCATGGCCAGACTGTTTTCAGGGATGTTTCCCAAGTGTGTGAAACAAGGCTTTAGAGAGGAGGAGGAGTATAATATGTCCTTTTTTAGTTTTGCAGATGCAAGTATTTTCGGGGCCATGCTGTAAACTAAATCATCAAAATCATATAAAAAATAATCTAGCTGAAAAAAAACGAAAAAAAAAAAGGCAGGTTTTGAGAAGAAGTACTGTTGAAAAGTGGCATTAAGACAAGAATGAGCAGACACGGACAGAGACACACATGGAGACTCTTTTAGGTGATTTCAATGTAAGGTGAAATTCCAGGTGAGACTAAAGTGAAAGAGAGATGTTGGTCTGTGAGCCTTTCAGCTGAGGTTTTGCAAGGCTGTGACACCTGTGTGCAGTTTGTTACCACCTCTATTCAAGTCGTGTCTTGCAGGTATGCCATTTGCAATCTCCATTTGAAGTTCCCTGAATTTGAATCCCTCTGTCTTCCTCCAACCATGAATATGATTTATAGATTTCTAAAATCTTCCACAACTTTGCACAAAGGTGTTGTTCTACTGATAATCCGTGTCGTGGCAGCAAAACATCTGGAAATGAGATTAGTTTTTCCTGTGTGTAGAGATGGTGCTAATGATAAACTTATTTATGACTCTTAGGCCTTAAACTGAGGTGAATTTGAGCTATTCATATATATAAAAAAAGGATATGTGTGACTTTCCTACAATTAGTATCTTTTCCTTACATTTTTCTGCCTGCTGTTTTTCAGAAGCTGCCCCAGTTCAGTTCACCACAGTCCCACAAACATTTTCAGCAGCACAGCAAAAGGGGGTAACAGGAGAGGGTGTGAGGAAGCTGCTGCAAATCATTCTGTGGATTACTCTCTTCTACAAAAATGTCAGTTTAAATACACATCAATCTGCAGCTGAGGTGCCATTTCACAGCTACCTAAGCCAATTTTCACCTGGGCCACTCCAGTGCCCGTGGCCTCTCATCTCTCTCATGCTGGGGTTAATGCTTCCCAATCTGTCAAAAAGCTCACCCAGCAAACCCAAAGCAATTTGTTTGGAGACAGTTCAGCCTCTGAATCAGTGAAATGAGACGGGAAGTAGTGGAGCGCTGAGGGGAGGGTGTGACTGTGGCAATCCAAATTTGTATTAACCTGAACAGCTGTGGGGAGTTACTGCTGGATCTGGCCTGTGCATCCAGAGCTACTTTCTTTCTCCTCCTGGCCTCAGCACTGACCTGCGTTAGGTCAGGGGTAGCTGCTCACTCCCTGTAGTCCAGGAACTCGGCAGCAATAAAAGCTGCTGTCTGGTGGCTTTCCTGCCTTTGCAAATTCATGATTTTTTCTCCCCCTTTCTGGCAATCCTGCCATTTCCCTCTACCAATTGCCCTTTCCCTTCTTTTCAAAGGCACTGGGCTTTGTCTCCTCCTGCTGCATTTATACTCTTTTAAAGTGAAGTGATATGTTGAGCAGATCAAGTATCTCACTGCTCCCAAAAGTCTTGTCACTTTCCATGCCCTCCCTTACAATGGAAATAGCCAAGGTATTTTGATGTCATACGTTAGTGTTTGAGCATAATTGCTGCTATACTTCAGTCACTTGTGAGTTAGCAAGGATGGGTTTCTTCCAGACTTGGGAGAACAGGAACACCATGGCACCTGCCGAGCACAGGAGTGCCTCAGCCTTTGAGCATGCCTAATGCCACAACGCAGGTGGGGAATGGGTGAGGGCTGATTTTAAAAACATCATAGACCTCAAGTGAAAGTTCCACTGAAGTCAATAGTAGTACTACTTGACAAAAACTGCAGAACTTGGAGACTGGTTTTATGTGTTACAAAAAGACTCCCATCTGTTAAATGGTAAATATATAGTAAAAAGGTTCTGTAATTAAAGTTGACACAATTATTGATAAAACTTTTTGGATCTTTATTTCAGTGTTTTATTCAGAAGTGTTGATTTAATTAGTTACATCTACGTATGGAATAACTACAGACTCTTTGAACTGCCCTGGGACTCGCCATGGACGTGGTATTTGACACTCCTGGGAGTGGACTTTGCATACTACTGCTTTCATCGCATGAGCCATGGTAAGAGTTAACAAGTTTTTCATGCATTAAAATAAAAAATATATTAATTATTTATTAATAAAATGAGGTATTTAGTTTAGTTTCTGTACTTAATCTACTCTAAGCATATATAGCTGCTCTTCTTCCCAAGGATTACCAAACATTCTCTTTTACTTTAAGCATGGAAAACAGTTTATACATCATACGCTGTATAATATATGTGATTTTGTGAAAAGAGGGAGTATCATTTTGAAAGCAGTACCACAGTGAAAGTGAAGTATCATAGGAAAAAATTAGGAAGTGCATAAAAATTTAAGCTTAGTATCCCTATATGCCTGTATGAAAAACGTAGCGCAGTACAGATAACTATTTCAAAAGAACCTCGTGGATGTACAAAATGGAGGGCAGTAAAAAGCAAGGTCACCAAAATAATGGCAGGACAGCTGGGTATCTTCATCTGTTTCTGTGTGGTTTTAGAAATCTTCTTAAACATTCAATCATTGTTTAATTGGTAAATGAATAAAAATGTTTCTATACTTTATATATATATATGGATATATATACACCCATATATAAATAAAATATTTTAAAAATCCTGTCTGCAATTAACACTTGATGTTAATTAAGTAAATGCAAGCCTTGCCTTGTTTTTTTTTTAGAAGTACTTTTTTAACCCTACTTGCTTTTATACATGAAAGAGAAAAAGCACAGTTTAGAAAGGATTTCACTTTTATTTATTGTAACAATGGAGCCCATGTAAATCATGCCAGTCATTTCTGTACATATATATTGTGAATATGTAATAATATCGATCCCTATATATCTGTCTTGTTAAATATTTCTGTTCTACGGTGACAACACATTTTTGCTCTAGCCTTTTATAGTCTGTCTGAAAATGCAATAACGCTTTCTATCAGTCCTAATTTTGGGCCTGATCTAAAGTCTGTAGCAATGAAATAAGGATCTTCTTGTTGTTAAGAGACTTTGGACTGGGCTTCTCAAGGCAGAGTGCCCACAGCTCGCAAAAGCTGTGGGATCTGGTAACGATACTTTATGTAATGTGCTTTCAGAAAGGGAAAATGTTTTGATGCCTATAGGTCAGTGGAATATATGGAAGTAGGTAAGAAAGGAGCCTGAGCTGCTGCGGGGAGTGGGAGGGAGGAAGGGTCCCTCCCAGGTGGGGATGGCAGGCGGGCAGGCGGGGGCGAGAACAATGCAGGGTGGGTGCAGGGGACAACAATGGTGCGGGGGGCCGGGGCTGGCGGGGGGACAGGGCGGGAGGCGAGGAAGCGGGGGGAGCTGGAACAATGCGGCCGGGGGGACATCGCGGCCGCGAGCTGGGAGCCCTGCGTGGGCGTACGCGAGACTGGGAATACGCTTCGCAAACAATGACATTAACAGTGCTGGCAGGGCTACAGCCTCAGGCTGAGAACTGGACCAGAGCGGGAGGCTATTCCTGCATTTTAAAATAAAAATAATTGCCTTCAAGTGTTAGAAAATCACTAGCCTGGCTGTGCTTTCACTGGAGTCAGTGGTAAAATTCCCACTGGCAGAGAAGGGAGCAGGGCCAGCTCTGTAGTCTCTAAAGCAATTGCACGTATTTCTGTTCCTGCAGCAACTTTGCGTTTATTCTCGTCTGTTTTTCTATATTTTGAGAGGAACGTTGGGATTGTACACTTTGAAATTAATCACTCTAGCAGTTTTAGAATTAAAATCCAAACCAATTCTGTCTATCAGTAATGGAGTTCAGGAAACTGCATAACAAAATGCTTCTCTTGTCTTAAGAAGGTCAGCGCTGAATTGTTCTATAAATGTTAATTTACTCTTCAGGTTACGGAAATGTGCTTGCTTCCCTGCTACTCAGCAGGGAACTGATACAACGTTATAGAAAATCACTCTAAATGGAGATTTTAGCTTAACCAACACTCTTTTCTCTGGTCAAGCAATGATGAAATCCGTAGCACAGCTGTGAAAGTCGGCTGCTTCAGAAGTTGCTAAGGAAATACAAGCGTAGGAGATGCTTTTAAAAAATAAAATGTAAACTCCTGAAAAACACCTTTGCACTTTGAGAAGTTAGGGCCCTGGAACAGTCTCTGATACAAGTGGACAAAACACACCGTTGCACTAGAAAGTGACAGGGCCTGGTGATTCAGGCTTGGATCCTAGACCAAAGTTAAAAATTAATAGCACATGTATATCCCAGGAAATTCAAGCTGTGTGGGCTTATGTGTGGGGATGTAAATAATAGCACTAATTGTTTCAAACTGGAAAACTAAAATTCAGATACATTTTGCAGTTGTTTCTTAATACTTGATATAATTTTGATACAAAGAAGAATCATCATCATCATGTAGCTTTTCCCGTCTCCAAGCAATAATTCGATAACTCAAACCCCTGGCTTTTTACTACCTTATTTCATGTTGTCCATGCAATAATTGGATTGTCCATTCTTCTATTTGAATAAATAGTCTGAATCATTACAGATTTTCAAGTTTCTTCTGCAGCAGAAACTCTACTATACAATATCAAGTTTTTACCCAGCACTTGGGAAGCTATTTTTTCTTCTTCACTATATGTGTGTAATAGCTATTATCATAAACTGAAGTTATACAGCAACAAGAGGAAGTATTTTTAGGTGTGATCTCATTTTGCAAAGGATAGAGTTATTCTAAGTATGTGCTTGTGTTTTCCATTGTTTGCAGTAGCCACTAAAAAGTTAGAAAATAAAATGTTTCACCACTTATTCCAGCATTCTTCTGGGCCTGATCCAAAAGCCATGGCAGTCAATGGGAGTACTTAGTTAACCACTGCTTTTTCTCCTGGCGTTTTAATGAATTTATAAATCAATGTAACTTTTCCCTTTGTTTCAGTAAAAACACCCGTTATGGCTGTAGTATTAAGGAAAGCAAGCTGTAAAATCACAGGTTTTATTTTAGGTTTTTTTCAGGGAAGGATATGTGTGGGTTTGAGGGATTTTTACCAGATATTTTAATCTAGCATATATGGATTATTCCTCAAGTTTCCTCTCCAGGTGCAGAGTCCTTGCTGAGTTACTCCTGCTAGAAGGGGGGATTTGGTGGTCCCAGAGCAGTGCCGAGCCCTAGCCGTGGTGCAGCACACCCCTCCCCATGCCCTGGCCTCGCGGATACTCCTGTAGCAGACATATGACAACGGCAGTAAGGAATTTGGAGGCTCTGTAAACTAATTTCTTCAGCAGCCACACCTTTTAATCAGGGGAGGAAATCTAGAGACTTCCAGATCCATGCAAAAACAAGAGACGCGCTCATGCAGAGCCCAAGTCCCAGCTGTGGGGTAGCGGGGGGTTTCGTGGCCGGCTCGAGCGCAGGGGGCTCTGCTGAGCCCCAGGACACCCCTGGGCTGAGCAGGGCCCTTGGTAGCAGCTGTGCTCTAAACCCCGCATCCCAACAGGGGACAACGGGGAACAGTGAAATTCCAGTCTTCTGTGGAAGGAGTAGTTTTCAGTCTATGCTTGCCGGTGGGTTGTGTCCTGCAGAGCAATGTGGTTTTCTGTCAGCCGGGGGACCCTCCTCTCCTCTTTCAAGCCCTGGAAGAAGCTGTCCAAGTCTGGCAGCCAGCAGGTTTAGAGAGCCTGTCTCTTTTTAACAGCAGCTTCCAACACCTCTTCTTTTGTTCTCCTTTACTGCTGGGGAATTTCCATTGCTTCAGTGTCCCTCCCCTCAGACAACCTGGGAGAAGCGAGTTTCCTTCAGCGGGGCCAACCTCCGCAGCAGCTGCATTGTTCTGCCAGGGCTGTGGCGGCCCGCGTCAGGCGCTCGCCCCCATTGTCCGCTGGTGGCTTCCAGCTGCCCTGTGGGATACGTGACATGGTCCCTGTCAGTGAAAGGCTGAGCCAATATCAGGTGGTGGTTTGAGTTACGTGCAGAGTTCGTAAAATAGACCTCAACTGATAAGTATATCCGCGGCAGATTCCCCAGCTGCTACATAAAATTTTGAGTTAATGGCGTGTCTCTTAATAATTCTGAGCTTATTTATGGTGGATGAGAAATAAGCCTTCTGCTACACCAGGTGTATTCTAGAGCAATAGTCTCTGAGCTTCTCGGATTCTCCCGTCCCACAGGACTGACCTTTTGGCCAAGGCCAGCTTCTGAAGAGTCAGAGGACAAAGAGGAAACCCTGAAAACTCACTTCAGCTTTGTCCCTCAAAAGGCCATGCCTCATAGTTGTAGCAAAATGTCTTTCTTTCTAAGATTTCCAAGAATTGGAAGCTTTGTGAACTTTTCATCTCCTATTTTGTGGAATTTTTAAAAAAGGGGTTTTCTCTTAGCCATGACTTAAATTGCTTCTGCCTCTTCTCCCCGTAAGCATCTTTTGTTATAGTTTCATAGAACAATTTCTTCAGAAGCAGAGCTGACTTAGCAGTTTACCACCCACTCCATTCTGAAAAAACCCTCCTGCACGGAGACTATGTGCATAAGATCATGGAAATAGTCCATGTTAAAAAAAAGGGTTGTGTTGGGTTGCTTTCTTAAACAATTCAACTCAGTTCAGTAGTCATGGGGTCAACTGAGCCATGTCAAGGACATAAGCAACATAAGCCAAACTTACTAGCACAGAATCTATGGGATAACTGGAGACTTCAGAGAGAGCAGAGAGGATTTTTGAGTCAGTAGTGCACAGGCAGGTAACTCATTCTTTTATAAGGAACCAGAGTGGATAAATTGGGGCAGGTAGTGTCTGAAGATTCATGCCATTAAAATGACTGGAATGGGCAACAGTAAAACCTAGTCCTATTCTTTCTGCTAATTATATATGTAGTCTGCAATAATAATCCTAATATGTTATCACTTTGGACACCAGTACAATGGTTCACTGTTGAACGAGGAGATGAGTTTGAACTTGCAAGCTCGTTAAAGGAAAAGACAGCAGGGCTCAAAGTCTCTTCACCATCTACATTTACTGTTCATTTTTGGAGGGTGTATTGGAATCATATGATTGTGCTATCTTTATTTATCTGACCCATTCCTGCCTTTGAAGTGCTC